TCCCCTCTTCCTATCCCAAATCAATTCCTCCTCACTTCCTATCCCAAAACTATTTTCCCCTTTCCTATCCCCAAATGATTTCTCCCCATTCCTATCCCAAAATGCTGCCTCAGTTTTTTTTGTTTTTTTTTTTTGGGTCACTCCTCCCCGCCTGCTTCCAATGCCCCAAATGTCCTTCCCGTAATGGAGTGACCACAATCACACAGCGTATTCCAACTGTGGTCTCCCGGGTGCCGGAATGAGCCGGGCTGATTTATATTCCGTGCCCCTGGATAAACACCTCGAGCCCGTGTTTGCGTTTGTGCAGCTGCCAAGGAGCCTCGCAGATGGTCGGAATGCAAAGTGTCCCATTCCGGCTGGAACGGGAATTGAGGCTGGGGGAGAGGAATGGAGCAGGAAGGGAAAGGGAAAAGGGGATGGGATAGGAGCAGGAAGGAGGGAATGACTCTCCGTGCACCCTGAGCAGGGATGGCCCAAATTTGCTCCTACTTTTCTGTCTTCTACCAAAGCCACCTCTGGGATTCTGGAATTCTGACTTGGCTCAGGCTGGGGAGCAAAATCAAGGAGCAAAATGAGGGATGTATTAAGGATAGCCCCTTCCCAAAGTGTTCTGGGATTGGCCTTCCTGCCTTCCAGAGGGAAATCCTGCAGCAATGACATCCAGGAGTGTTTTAGGTTGTTCCCATCTTGGCATGACTTCAGCTTCCACGTCCTGAGATTCCAACCTCCAACAGGAAAAGATTGATCCAAGAGATGTCTTGGTGGACAGGAGCCAGGGGGATCCTGGAGGGATCCCATGCTTCCCTTCAGGTCTCATTTCTTCAGGAATGTCATCCAATAGAGTTTTTGCATGTTCCCACCTTGGAATTACTGCAACTTCCATGTGCTTCAAGGGGGAAGGTGAGATCCAAGAGATGTCCTGGTGGACACGAGCCAATGGGATCCTGGAGGGATCCCATATTTCACTTCAGGACTCGTTTCTCCAGCACTGAAGTGGTCAGTGATGTCCTCAAATCACGAGGAATTCC